TCCTCATCGTCTTGGAGTCTTTCTCTTGATACTCCTCTTTTTTTTGTCCACACTTTCCATTCGTGCTTCATAAGCATCAATGAGTGGTTTGACATGCCTTAGATAGTTTGTAGAAACCTATTGGTATTCTGTTACTAGGAATCTTTCAAAGGTACATTGATACACTAAGCCCTGACTTAGTCTCTTCTTTCTTACTATTCCATTGACTTATCCAAGTGTTTTATCCCACACACCATATGAAGGCTTTGGCCTCAATATCTGTTCACGATGAAATCCTTTCTCATCTGGAATGAATTTCTTTAACACTAAGATATAAAATACTGGATGAAATCTGCCCTTCTTTGGGATATCAATGAGGTATACATCTTTATGTATCACCTTTAAAACCTTGTAGGGTCCAGCCCATCTTTGCATCTACTTGTGTGACAATGAATTGGGAATGGACAAATTGGTGGTGTCTAACCAAACCATTTCTCCAACTTGATGCACAATTTCACGACAATGCTTATCAGCCGCTGTCTTATATTTCTTCTGAGCTTACTCTAGAAAATGGGTAGCCATTTTTTAAATGTGCTGTCTCTTGGAGATCTACATCATGGCTTCCTCAGAAAAGAATGAGGATGGGAAATCCTCATCCTTTTTTGCTAACATTAGGTCAATGGGCCTTAAAGCGTTAAACTCATGAGCTATCTTGAATGGGCTCATTCCAATATTTGTAGAATGAGTGATGTTATAACAAAACTCTGCTTGTAGTAACATCTCCACCCAATCACTATGGTCAACTGCTATATGATTTCTTAAATACATATTAAGGATTGCATTGATCCTTTTGGTTTGACCATCACCTTAGGGATGAAATGTAGTAATCAAGATGAGCTTAGTCCCTGACCTCCTCATCAAGTGCTGCCAAAAGGCAGTCAAAAATTGTGCATTCCTATCACTTAATATATCTTCTGGATACCCTTTTTGGAAAATCCAATGATCATAGAAGAGTTGTGCTATTCTTTCAACACCATCACCCCACTTAGTTGGAATCAACTTTGCTTGCTTACTCAACCTATCCACCACTATATAGATGGAATCATAACCTTGCACTGTAAGCAAAGATGTCATGAAGTCCATTGACAGACATCTATAAGGTGCCTTTGGTATAGGCAAGGGATTTAGCAAACCCATTGTCTTTTGAGTACTTGCCTTATTCATTTGACACTTGGCACAAGAAGCCACATACTTCTCTACATCTCTTTTGAGATTAGGCCAATAATATTTGTTGGAAAATTCTTTTATTGTCACTAGTACTCCGCGGTGTCCCGCTTCTAGTGTGTCATAGAATTCACACATGATTTTCTTCCTCAAGTGCCCATTTGGCAGATAGAGTCTACTTTGCTTATAGTAGATTAATCCATTGACTCTTTTAACAATCTTAAGTCTAGAGAATTTAGAAGACAAACCTTTCTTTGGAACTAGTTTGTAATCAAACATCTGGTTCAGTTCCTTAGCTTCCCCATCTTCTTTGTACCCTTCCTTAACTTCCACCTCAAATGGTGTATCGTTTTGAATCATCACCATGGTCAATACAATCATGAGTTCTCTCTTCTACTTAGTGCATCTGGCACTAAGTTTTCACGCCCAGGTTTGTGAATGAGAGTTACATTCATGGAAGCTATTATATCATACCACTTCAATTCTCTAGGAGTGGTTTGTGCCTTGGTCTGAAGATATTTCAAGGGGATATTATCAGTGAAAACCTTTGTTTCCAAACTTCCTAGATAATGTCTCCATATCTTGAGGCAATGAACAACTGCAAAGAGTTCTTTTTCATGGATAGGCCACCTTAGTTGGCTACTTGTGAGTTTTTTGCTTTCAAATGCAATAAGTCTTCCTTCTAGCATTAACACTCCTTGAATGGCAAATCGACTTGCATCCGTATGTACCTCAAATTCTTTATCAAATTCTGGGTACTTAAGTACTCCTGAAGTACTTAAGGCTTCTTTGAGTGTGTCGAATGCTACTTGGCATTTGTTGTTCTATTGAAATTTCTTATTGTCTTTAGTCAACAAATCAGAGAAGGAGCTAGCAATCTTTGAAAAGTTCCTTATGAACTTTTTTTAATAGTTTGCGAGTCCTAAGAAGGCTCTTACTCCTTTTTGAATTTGGAGCACTTCCCACTCTTTGATTTCCTTCAACTTTCTAGGATCAGCCTTGATCCCTTCATGGTTACAGATATGACCTAAGAACTCAATTTCTTGGAGTACATACTCACTTTTCTCTACATTAGCATAAAGCTTGTTGTCCCTTAGCTTACCAAGCACAATTTCTATATGCTTCGCATGTTGTTCTTCAATCTTAGAGTATATTAGGATATCATCAATATAGATGATCTCATACCCATCTGTTTCTTTATGGAATATTGAGTTCATCATAGTGGTGAATGTGGCAGGTGCATTGCACAACCCAAAAGGCATCACCACGAACTCATATGACCTATACCTCGTCCTACAAGTTGTCTTCTCAACATCCCCTTCTGCCATTCTTATTTGATAGTAACGTGACTTAAGGTCTATCCTTGGAAAGAACTTGACTCCTATCAACCTATCCATCATGTCATATGCCTTTGGTAGGAGATAGTTGTTTTTCATAGTGATTTTGTTGAGAGCTTTGTAGTCTACACACATTCAATACTTACTATCCTTTTTACTTACAAATTATCACGGACATACATAAATACCTTAGTAATTACATATAGAAATAGTTATAAGTTAGTAAAAGTAAGTTATTTCTATGATATCTTTTAGAGAAGCTTCCTAGAAGTTACTTAGACGCTGCTTAGACTTCATAGACATCCTTTGTTGACTCTTAGACGCTGCTTTGACTTCATAGACATCTTTTGTTGACTCTTAGATGCTACTTTGACTTTATAGGTGTTTTTTTATTACTTTTAGGTTGGAAACTTAATCAACAAGTGTCAGGGATCAGACTCCTGATCTAAGCTCAAGAATAAGAAATAGGAATAATTACAAGAAGATCTTAATTAAACCACAAGAGATGAGTTGTCGAGACTGAGGATCCCCTCAGTTTCAACTCCTTTATATACTAAGTCCTCGAAAGCTTCTTAAGAGATTTCCATGAAGCTTGAAGATAAGGTAGGCCTAAGATCCTTCTTTGGTAACTTCCTAAACCATCTAAGGTCTCTTTAGTATCTTTTAGAACCTTAAGGAATCTTCTGGAACTTTTTAGAACCTTTTAGAACCTTCAAGAATCTTATAGAATATTCTAGAACCTTCTAGAACCTTCAGAAACCTTCTAGAACCTTCTAGATCTTTCCAAAATCTTCTAGAACCTTCTTACTTGTATGTCTGTGACATCACTTCCTCTTCTAGTTTCGAGATCTCCGAGAAGCATATTGCTGCAAGTTAGTATATACGCAAGAAGTTGAAGATGTGTTGTATCGTACCTGCTACATATTCCAATTGTTTTTTGCGAGACAAATGGTTCATTGGTTCTTGTAACCATCGATAATGTCCCACGTCTTGAACTTCCGACCAAGCATGAACTTCAGTGTCTTTATTGTGGAATTGTCTTGAAAACACTCCTTCTGGATGGCCATCATATGCAAGCTCTACCTCAAACACAATCACCAATGACTTGCTACTAAGTATCTTCCATCGTCTTCGTGGACCAGGCGGTTCTTTATCTCGGGATCGTCTATATGAGCTACTTGGTTGAGATGACATAACTGGTATGGTATCGTTCTCTTGACCATCCATATGAACTTGTCTATACAGAACGTATCAACTCAAAAACAGGATGGACTGGATTCTCACATTGCTATCCTTTATATGATTTCTTCCTTTCTTTCTTAAAGGAAGCTTGAACTAGAAGTTTTGCAAGATGGTGTCATTACCTAACACATGGTATTGCTTTTGGTTTGGAAGGATGTCATTGATGAAAATCTTGTACCTTTTGAGGCGCATTGATTAAGTTTGATGCTGGCTCCCATGTGCGTTTGCTGATTGGATAGCCATGCCAATGCACAAAGTACTCCAGCTGTCCTCGCCTTCGCCTTAAATTAAATACCTCTTCCACCTCATATTCTTCATGACCTTCAATTTCTACACAAGGTGGTGGTTCTTGTATTCTTCCTGGAATAGTTGATTCTTTGTATGATTCTAACAAAGACACGTGGAAGATTGGATGTACCTTCACAGCAGCTGGTAAGTCCAAACGGTATGCCACTGGAGTAATCTGCTTCTGGATGACAAATGGTCCCAATCTATGATAGTCTAATTTATCACATGGTCGCTTGGTCTTGATATTTCGACGAAGCAACCATACTTTATCTCCAATCTTGAAAGTAGGTGTCTCGTTCCGAAACTTATCTATGGTCGCCTTGTAAGACTCTTGGGTAGTCTGCAATTGAAGTTACAATATAGCTTGAAGTTCCAATAGGTGCTTCGTAAAACCTTCAGCTGCCGGATTGTTATTCATTGACGGACTAGATAAATCGAGCTTTGGATGGTACCCATAATTAGAAAAGAACGGTGTTTGTTGAGTCGACACATGAAGGGTGTTATTATAAGAAAATTTGGCAAGCAATAGATATTCAGTCCAATTGTCTTGCTGATAGTTGATGCTGCATCATAAGTATTGCTCCAATACTTGGTTTATCCGTTTTGTCTGATTATCAATTTGAGGGTGAAAAGCCGAAGAAAGCTTGATATCGACCTTCAATATTCTAAAAAGAGATCTCCAAAATTTGGATACAAATTGAGTCCCTCGATCTGACACAATATCATTTGGTAGGCTATGATAACGATATACATTATCAAGAAAGAGCCTTGCTGTATCTTCGCTTGATAATGCCTTCTTGCAAGGAACAAAGTGCGCCATCTTCGTAAGCCAATCTACCACCACAAAAATGCTATCAAACAAATTTGAAGGTAGCAGGTCCATAATAAAGTCCATGGAAACTGAAGACCATGGTCAGCGCGGAATAGGCAATGGCTATAAAAGCCCACAAGGGTGATGCCGAGGGTTCTTGAATCTTGAACAAATGTCGCAAGAGAGGATAAAATCCTTCACATCCTTTCACATTTGAGACCACCAAAAATCTTGCAAAATTAGCTCCAAGGTCTTGTTAAATCTGAAATGTCTAGTAGCTAGAAAATCGTGACAAGATTAGAGAACTTGAAGTCGTACTAGTGCCTTTGGGATGTACAGCTGCTCCTCAAAATAAAGAAGATCTCCATCCACCTTGAACTTGTCATTATTGACACGTTGTTTGATGTCAAGAGCTACTGAATCCTGAATAGTCGCAGCACGTACCTAATCGAGGAAGTCGACATTAATCGGGATGACAGCTGCATAAATCTTAAATTACTCTGGTTTTAATAATGTCGTACATTCTTGATCAAACGCTGCTTCTCCAGCCTTTGGCGCAAGATATGATCTCCTTGATAATGCATCTGATAGTCCTTGCTGCTTCTCAAGTTGATATGTGATAACAAAGTCAAATCATGATAGCGACATATTCCATCAAGCTTGACGACGGTTTAGAACTCGAGCTGACATAAAGTACTCTAAATTCTTGTGATCTATATATACAATCACCGGATGCGCATCGCCTTCAAGAAAATGATGCCATTCTTGGAAAGAATCTACTATTGCAAGGAATTCTTTGTCATGGATTTCATAGTTGATTTTCGTAGCAGAGAACTTCCGAGAATAGAACGCAATCGGGTGGAGCTTCTCATTTGCGTCCATCTACGAAAGCACAACTCCTAAAGCAAAGTCTGAAGCATCTGTTTCCAAATAGAAGGTCTTTGTAAAGTCAGGGTGTATCGAGATTGGAGCCGTAGTAAATACCGTCTTGAGATCTTGGAATGCTTTCTCCGCTTGAAGTCCCCATTCGAGCTTGTCCTTGCATGTCAATCGAGTGAGTGGGGCAGCAACTCGAGAATAATTCTTAATGAAGATTCGATAGAAGTTAACAAAACCAAGGAAACATTGTACATCTCTAACTGTTTTTGGACTTCCCAAGACAAGATTGCTTCCACCTTCTTTGAGTCCATCTTCAAGCCTTCTATAGTTGCAACAAATCCCAAAAATTCCATCTCTATTTGGTGGAATAAGCACTTTTCCAAACAACCGACACCCAACTCGATCAAGCCTGGCTGCAACTGGTCTCTGTCCCAACTTGGAATTATTACGTAAATTATACAGCTCCGATCCACGCATCTACTGCGATTCGTCGAGCTTGACTGTTGATCTTTCACACAGCTTACAACCGTCTCACAGCAATTGCAGCGCGCAACGTCTTATAAATTTCATGGTACTTTGTAAGTTTCATAAACAAACGAAGGACCTTAATGTGAAGCATATACCGATTCAGCAAATCATAGAGCTCCATTGTCATTCCACATTGATTTTGAAGTCCAAGAATTGAAAATATAATGAAAATGCGGGAAATCAAAGCACAGGTCGACTAACTAGCTTGTGACGCAAGTTGGGGCCATATGTTTTGATTTAATGCAATGCCTCACCGCCCTGCACGTATTAGTCATTTAGAATGCCTGAGTGCCGGAGTCCCTCAAAGTTTCTCGCTCTCAGCAAAAATAAATGTGGTGAATTTTCTCTTAATTACGTGCTATGGCCTCTAATTAACGTTCTTGAGCCTGCAATCACAATCATTTGTAAACTTATCCGCCCACTCAGATGGTAGTTCACAGATGCATGCCTAACAATTCAATATTGCGCTCTGGTGCTATCACATCATGTCAAATGTTAATTCCATTCTGCCCATTTGACAATAGTTTCTTAATTGCGTGTTGACCACTATTCTGACTTCAAGTCAAGTCTGGGGTCCAAGTTTCCAGCATTTAACTAGTAGGTAGTAACTTGGTGCCAAGCTCGAAGATTTTACCAAACTAGGTCCTTTGTTTCTCATTAAACAGACGGTGACCTCATGAACGACACAGTCCAAGTTGAGGAAGAATGATGTGTTAAGACGAATGAACGAACGAACCGGCCCTATCGTTCACCTGGTAGCAATGATGTGGCATAAAATTAGGACCTATGATTTAAACAAAGAGTTGAGACCCAAACACAAACACAAACAAGCAAGTATGAAAATGTGAAGAACAATGGGTTTTAGATTTGTCATTGAAAAATGACAACTAAATGCAAGGACCATTCATCCATCTAGCAAGCAATTACGAGCACTAGGGAAGGAATAAAGAGATGGAAGTTGAGGACTACTGATGTGATTCGGTCATACCAAGGCTACTACACCAGATCCCATCAGAACTCTGAAGTTAAGCGTCTTTGGGCCGGAATAGTACTGGGATGGGTGACCTCCCGGGAAGTCTCGGTGTTGCATCCACATTTGCATCCGCCCGAATCTTCTCCGACGTGGCAGTCCACTTAGCATTCTCATGTGACGCGTGGCAAGCATTTAGTTGACATGGCATAGTCCACGTGGCATTTCAAAAATAAATATAAAATAGAAATGTTAAAAACGCATAAGATTAGAGATTAAATTCTAATTTATTGTATACCTTGCATTGTCATTCAATGTGACATCTTTGCTGACGTGGCTCAGTCCATGTGGCATTTCAAAAGTTTAAAAAAAAAAAATGAAAAAGGTTGAGAATATAATATTTACATCTTAGAAGTTAAATTCACATTTTGATCTATTTACATTTTGGTGCTTATGTGGCACAGTGTAGTGTTAAAAAATAAATAAATAAATAAATAAAGGGTTCTTATTTCAAACATGTATTATCACAATACAAAAATGCTGGGGTTTGAAATTACAATGCTAGTTTATATGTTGTGAGATTAAAATTTCAGAGTCTAGGTTGTATGATTAAAAAAATAAAGTATGAGGTGAGGGCTTAGGGTTCAGGGTTTAGGTTTAGGGTTTAGGGTTTGCATAGGGTATATAAACCTAGATTCTAGGATCCACATAGATTATATAGGATTTAGAAAATTGGCCTTGGAGTATGTAAAGAGAAGATAGATTTAAGAATTCACACAAACAAAAATAAAATTGGATGTGGAGTGTGAGGATGAAGAATTGAAGACAGGAAGTTAAGTGGTAATGGATTAGTTAGTGGGCAATGATTACTTGTACAATGCATTAGTTAGCAAGTCATTGACATATTTGTGCAACCAATTTGATTGTACACACGCGAATTTTATCTCCAGAGTGACATGTAAACGATTTAGTGGATTTTTGACATGACATGGACTACCACGTGGCAGCCACATCAGCAAGGGTACCACGTGGCACTTGAAAAAATCAATTTAGTATTTGTCTACATTTTATTTTTCTACCTTATCCCAGTAAATTAATTTACTTTAATTTTTTAATTCATTATTTTTTATTTTTTATTTATATTTCTGTCTAGGTACAAGACTGGGCCAACAAGGAGTCGAGACAGTGAGTTAATTTTAAAATACATTTTTTAAAATTTTATTTATTTCTCTTAATTTTTTTTCTTTTTTTCTTTTTCTACCTAGGCGGAAGACTCGGCAGCCAGCGAGGAGTCGGGACAAGAAGTCGGGACTCGCGGCGGGACTAGGAAGAGGAGGAGGAAGTCCGGGACTCGCGCCGGGACTGGGACTCGCGACGGGAGTCGCGGCGGGACCAGGAAGAGGAAGAGGAGGTCTAGGACTCGCGCCGGGACTAGGACTCGCGACGGGAGTAGGGAGTCGCGAAGGGACTAGGAAGAGGAGGAGGAAGTCCGGGACTCGCGCCGGGACTGGGACTCGCGACGGGAGTAAGGAGTCGCGGCGGGACTAGGAAGAGGAGGAGGAAGTCCGGGACTCGCGCCGGGACTGGGACTCGCGACGGAAGTAGGGAGTCGCGGCGGGACAAGGAAGAGGAGGAGGAAGTCCGGGACTCGCGACGGGAGTAGGGAGTCGCGCAGGATTAGGAAGAGCAGGAGGAAGTCCGGGACTCGCGACGGGACTGGGACCCGCAGCGGGAGTAGGTAGTGGGGGAGGAGGTCGGGGACTCGCAGCGGGACAAGGAGGAAGCCCGGGAGGAGGGCCGGGACCAGGAGTCGCGGCGAGGATAGCAGGCAGGACAGGGAAGGTGGGTGGTCTTCCACAAAAAAAAGGGTGTCTCGGAACTTCCTTAGTGCAATAGGACGGGGGGGCCTGCCGAATCCCACAGAGAATACTATGTGGGGGAAGGGTTCCTCTGAAGCGTCTCAGGAAAAGTCGTGAGGGGGTGGCAGTTGCTCGGTGCCTACGGGTCCCGACTGCTCGCTGCCTTCTTTGAGCCCAGTACCGACGTTCGCAGGGGGGATACCTGGATACTACTGGGGGTTTACCTGAATACTTCTGGCGTGTTACCTGGATCAGTGAGGAGTGGGGGTTAGTTTCCTGGCGACGCGACCCTCTAAGAAGGTCCCGCGGAGGGTCGCCGAGTATTATATGGTGAGCTAGCTGTCAAGGATTGTGAGTCCCGCTGCCAAATTTATTTTTGGTGCGCGGACGACTGGAAAAAGAGGGTTGGTCTTATGCCGATACGCGTAACGTCGCAGCGAGTCCCAAGAGCTAGTAACCATTTTTGGCGGGGGGCGATGGCCTCGGTATTGTCAAGCCATTCTCTCATATTATTGTGGGAGAGTGGGGAGAAGTGTTTGCCGAGGCCGTCCAAGCTCCGCCTGGTCGACCACCACTGTGACTGCCACCGCGCTCGATCTCTATTACAAGCTCAGGTGAAATTCCTGATAATCTTGGAGGGGGTGTGGGACGCGTTCGCAGTGTGGGCCGAGGAGTCATAACATCCCAGGTCAGAATGTGAAAATGGAACTTCGAAACCGGTTGAGAGCCTTTCTCGTCGGCTAGGGGTTTCACAAAAGTAACATTTCTATAAATTTCTATCCGTCCCCTCCATTAATTTGGAGGGGCGATGGGCCCCCGGGATTGGACATACTTCTTGCTAATATTCGTCTTTTGAGGAATTCCTTCGCGGTGATGGTTATTT